ATCGCCATAAATTCACATAATAAAACAAGAAAAATCATATCACATGAGAAAAACGTCAAAATCAATATCCATTTATAATCACAAATTCTTAGCAATCTAAGAACCTAAAACAGGATCCCCAAATACTCAAGAACAAAAAACTGTATTTAACAATAAATGTTAAAAGCATTTCTTCCACCATCACAAATGACTATCATTCAGTAGTATGATGTCAGCTTGACCTTGTATTAAATCTTCTAGACAAAAGATTAAACAGGGCTGGAGAGATGACACGTAAGGCAGGTTTTGCAGGAGGAGCCCTGGCTTGACCACTGGCACTGCTGAAGGTAGCTGGGTATGGCCCCAAAACACACAAACAAAAACGGTTAAATATGCTTATGAGGAAAAAGAGGCATGAGTATCAGGAAGAAAAACTTCTCACTATTCTCAGTACTTTAAACAATGAAAATGAGCACACAACACAGCATGCTTGATGATATAGTTAAGCAAGTAGAAGGAAACTCAATACCAAATGCCTCCATTTGAAAAGAAGGATCTCAAATCAGAGGCCTCTGTTTTTATACTGAGAAACTAGAAAAAAATACAGCAATTGAAACCATATTGTGTGAGAACTGGAGTAACAGTACAGCAGGTAGGGTGCCTGCCTTCTGACTAAGGTTCCATCCTCACCCCATATGGTCCCCCGAGCCCCTCTAGGAGTGATCCCTGAGCACAGTCAGGAGTAAGCTCTGAGCATAGCTGAGTGTGCTCTCCCAAACAAAACAAAATAAAACAAAACCCAAAACAAATAAACAAAAAGAAACCATATTATATAGAAGGACATAATAAAGACAATGGCTTAAGTTAATGAAATAAAAAGAAGAAAAAGAAAAAGCAAGGCACAGAAATTCTTTAAATAACATGGCTAGATTTTTAGCCAGACTGGTAAGCAAAAAAAGACCCAAAAAATTGCAATATCAAAGATTAGACATGACACACAGGCATTAAATAGTTGATATCAGATTATGAAAATTTTATACAAATAAATTCATTAAGAGTTACTACCAATTTAGATAAAATGATAAACTCTGAGAACCAAAGATTCTAAATCGTTTAATACCCATTATTAATACTGTGTAGTAAACAACCTTGTCAATAAGGTTACTCCAACAAAATCTGAGATCTCGCTTTTAAAAAAAATTGGAGCGCAAAATATGCATACCAAATAATTAACAACTACTACACAAGGAGGTGAGAAGCGTACATAATAAGAAAACGGGAAGAGGGAAGAAAGGGTTAGGACCTCAGGTCGACACTTTAGGAACACTTGACATTATCCCTCCACCTCACAAAAGCAAACTTTCATTTCAATTGCCAATCAGGTAAGACTACAAATGGAAGCTTCCTTTGAGTATTTTCATTTCCTAGGTAATGACTTTCACCAGGCAAACTCAATTCTACCTTTCTTCACTGTGACTGTCAGGTAAGTAGTTGCAACTACAGATTCAGAAATTTCCTCTAATGAAATTGAATGTAAATGTAGGAACTTTTCTAGGCAGACTGGCACTTTCGTAAAATACAGACCACACTTGAAGAACATACCAATAAGCTAAAAATCCCTTTTGTTTCTTCCTTTATGAAAAAACTTGATAGAAACTGCTTTTGATTCCCTAGGTCTTCCTATTTCGCAGGCAGGAACTCCTTGCCCTTCTCTGCTGTTTTCAGTGGAGCAGAAGCCAAAAACTCTCCAGTGTTTACTTCCTTATTTGTCCAACAAAGCATCATCAGTGAAGTCAGCAGCAAGCTGAACCACCCTGGAAGGAATGTTTATTAACTAAACATTGTTGCAGGCCCGTTGAGGAGCACAAAGTATGAAAAGGAAAAGAAAAAAAGACTTGAAGTCTCATAAACAGAGTTACTACCAATTTACCCTTAATCTGGCTTCTTCTGAGAGGTGGATGGGTAAGTAAGGCCTCTACAGTTTCAGGGCTGCACAGATTTCAAGAGTTAGTTGAATATACCATCAGAGAGACAGTTTTAAAATATATTTTTAGCTTAATTGTTATGGAAAACTGCTGGTAGTTTTGTTCTCTATGTTCCCTTATCGTGACACCAGCACTGTAATTTGTGTTAATTAAACCACAGCCAAGTGTAAGCCACCAGCGGTACAAGCCAGAAACAACCTGTTAAAATACTGAATGTCTTAAATATCTAAAACAAACAAAAAAAAAGTAACAGTATTTGTACGTTTGCCACAAGGTCAAAATCACACAGAATTTATTCTAAGAAATTACGCGCACACAATTTCACCCATGGCATTTCATTTTTTTAAACAAGTATTTCTTTTTGTATATATCAATTTATTTTACCAGGACAGGGATTAAACCCTGGGTTTCACACATACAGATTTACATTCTTGGCCCTCACAAATGGTATTTTAGTGACTTGTTAAGAGATAAGATATCATATATATATGTTCATATATATGTACATCTATTTTTTATTTGGTATACTAATAAAACATACTCTATTTCAAAGACTCAAATCATTTATCTTAGCACTGTCTGTAGCACTGTCCTCCGGTGGTTCATCGATTTGCTCAAGCAGGCCCAGTAACGTCTCCATTGTGAGACTTGTTCCTGTGTTTGGCATATCAAATACGCCACGGGTAGCTTGCCATGCTTTGCCGTGCGGGCAAGATACTCTCGGTAGCTTGCCAGGCTCTCCGAGAGGGGTGGAGGCCGGGCCGGACATGTGCAAGGCAAACGCCCTACCACTGCGCTATCGCTCTAGCCCTCATTTATCTTAAGTATGATTATCAACTGAATGCTCAACTGAATAAGCAGCAACAATGTATAAGACTGAAAGTACAACTTGTTTTTATAACACAATAGAAATGGAAGTAAAATCAGAGGTTAACTTTTCATTTATAAACCCAAAGAAGGCAGTACTGGGGCTCTGTTTTTATCAAGTATAAAACACTCCAACATACAGGATCTGATAAATGAATACCCAGTACCAATGAAGGATAAAGTAACAGCATAAAGATTTATGAAACCCAGGCAGCACTGCAAAAGACTACGATTCTTCTTTTTTCCTATATAAGATGCACTAAATTTCCTCCCAGTTTCATACTGAGCATTAAGCCATTTTTACTCACACTCTAACTGATGTTATGTGGCATTTCTCCTCCCATCAACAATTTCTCCAACAATTCTGACATAAACTGTGTCCGAAAACTCAATTCTGACACAAATCTGTTATGTGTTAATATCAGATCCCACAAGTAAAAGAGTTTGATCCCATAGGAATCACCCTACTTTTAAGTCTCGCACTTCTGACCTAGTATTTCCCGCCCATAAATGTAGAGTGGGAAAATGTGCGAAAAGTGATGGAGGCAGAATCTCCTGACCCGGCGCCAGGCTGTCTTCACTGGGGCACCTCGACGGGGGACGGGTTGAGTCTCCCTCCCCACCCCAAGCAGAGCCCCAGCATCCGAAAACCCCCAGAACCCAACTGCCGCCATGCTCAAGGCCACTCTCAAATGAGCCTCAACAAAGAGGGAAGCAGCAGAAAAAACCCAGGAACGTGGGTCCCCTGAGATCTCCAAGCCTGCTCAGATCAGGACTCGGCCTCCTCCCTGCAACTCCCCAGTTTTCTAGTAGCTTGGCAGTCACACCCACCAACTGCCCCTGGCACCATGTAATCTCATCAACGGCCAAGACCCAGGGGCTATAAACTAAAGCTCCCTAAAGCGACACAGAATTTCGCGGCTGCATTCACGGCAGCACAACCTCTTATACTCTGGCCCACTTACGTACCAAAAGAAGAACACATCTGTTCAGTTTTAACATACTTGCTTATACTCTCTCATATACTGGCTTAAATGGCTCCAGAATGAAATACAGCAACCTTCACACACTTCCCTCTAATTGTGGGGGGAAGGTGCTTGGTGGTGGGATTGGTGTTTGAATATTATCTGTAACGAACTACTCATTACAGTTTCAATCCTCTAATCGCATGGCTTGGTTGTTCTGGAAGCCTGAAGCTCAGCAGAGCCCCCAGTGAACTCAGCTCACATTCACAGTCCACAGGTTGCAAGGTCAGAGGGGCTGCAGGCTAGCAACAGGACAATCTCGTGTTCTAAACAACCCTATCACAAGCAGCACTGATTCTCTTCTGTCCCCACCAAAAAGGGTGAAGGAGATTTTCAATGTCCTAAAAAACAACAAAGAGCGCTTTCATAAAAATAAAAAATCACACAGCAACTTTAATAACCAAATGGATGGATGTCATCTTCTGAGACAATTACCTTGGGAGATTACTTCATATTAATACATTTCTTTCAGTCTATCAGTCCCAAGAAAAATCACCAATTACAGAGCATTCAAACCACAGCAAAGATGATTCTAATATGAATCTCATCATTCCTAATAGTCTTCTAATAACAATTTTTTAAATATACCTAACATCCCCTTTCACCAAAGGACATCATTTTAGGAAATGGTAATTTCCTACCAACAAAAATATGTAAAAGTGTAGGCCAATGATACCAAAAATAAAAGCTTTTTCTAATGTGGTTTAGTGCTAGTGAATGTTAGCATCTGTAAATGTGTGCATTCCTAAGATGATAATTTATATTTTATATGTAGGTATGCTTTTTTTTTTTAAGTCTAGTCCATTATGGACTTAATCCAAGAAACTAGAAAACTTTTAGAGTTAAAAAAAAAAAAAGGCAGGGGAGGGAGGGAGGTCGAAGGAGAACCTAGCACAATAAAGGTTAATAGTCCTTTAAAAATATATTCTTGGGTGGCCAGAGAAACAATACAGAGGTTAGGGAGCTTGCTTTGCACCTCTGCGATCCAGGTTGGATCCTTTACGGTCCCTCAAATCACTGACAGTGATCTCTGAGAAGACACAGAAATAAGCCCTGAGCACAGCCTGGTAAAACACACACACACACACAATTTTGTGTGTGCTTCAGATCATTCTCATACCTAGTCTATGTTTATGAAACATACCATTTACAGCCTTTTCAATCAATTCTTCACAAGCATCAAAATCACCCTTCAAAACCAGTTTATCATGCAGATCTGTTAACATAGGATGTTCCAGAGCAATCTTGGTTTTCTTTTGCAATGATTCAAAGGCCTCTGTATAGTTGTGTTGCCTGAAGTGTTTGAGGCAAAGACGAATGGCTTCCTGTTCACGGTACTACTGGAACACAAGAGAAAGTAAGAAAAAAAAAAGAGTCTGCTTAGTTATTACTGTATAAAACAGTGACAACTAACCTATAGTGAGCACTTACTGTGTGCTTATCGTTGTTCTACTCTATTGACAATTATCATTATTGCTTCCACTTTTAAATGACAAAACTGAAACTCAGTCACTTATAATAAAAAGCCAAAGATTACAAAGTATGTATCAGAAAGATGTGGAACATATAAAGTTATAAATGCATGTTCATCATAAAGAGGAAACCAAACCAAATTCAAGAAACCAATTTTCCAAAAAGCAAAAACAGATCCATTTATCAAAGCCCAGTTCAGATGATAAAAACGTTAACTTCCATCTTTTACTGATCATATTGCAATGTACTAAAAGCAGAGAAACCATTAAGTAATACATATAAATTAAACCACTGCTTTCTGTTCTTGGTTTTTAGTAATAATTAGTTTTCACTTGACTGACTAAAATCAAATTCTAATGCATTTCAAATCCAAACCTGTTTGTGAACCAAAGACATCAAAAAGTGACTACTAATTCTATCATTTGGGGGCCAGAGTGATAGGACAACAGGTAGGGCACTTCCCTTGCCAGTGGCCAACTCAGGTTTGATCCCCTAGACCATATATGGTCCCTCCTGCTCTGCCAGAAGTGATCTCTGAGAACAGAACCAGGAATAAGCCATAAGCACTGCCAAAACCTTTTAAAAAATTTAAATTAAAATGTTTTTAAAGCCTGGTCTAAAACTTATCTATTAAACAGCCACAAAGTAAAATTTTCAATGCAATAAAACTCAATTAGGTCTCTGCCCTAATATAATGAATACCCAAAGTAATAAGCTCACAGATATTTTTAAAACAAAATAACTTCAAGAACGTTACAGATTAACAAATCTCTTAAGTACATATATAATAAAAAGTAATAAAACTGTAATCAAATTGTTGACACAGCAGTAACCATGACAATCAAAAATATGATTTATTGAAAAGCATATTTTAATAAAGCAAGAAAATAAAACAGAACCTCGTAAGAAAATTTACAGATTAGAAACACAAACCACTTTACAGTTGGCTGAATTTTTTATTAGTAAAAAGTTGACTTTTTAAAATCAGAAACAGGTTATCAAAACATTTTTCCTGGAGTACTCTAGTTGAGAATTTTTCCCTCATCAAAAACTGAAGAATAAATCTATATTCAAACTAACATTATATTAATAGTTTCTTACTCATGGTTTCTAAAGAGTTACCAGAATCTAGATTTATCACACTCATTTTTTTTTTTTTTGGATTTTTAGGTCACACCCAGCGATGCACAGGGGTTACTCCGGGCTCTGCACTCAGAAATTACCCCTGGAGGTGCTCAGGAGAACCATATGGGACGCTGGGAATCGAACTCAGTCTACCCGCTGTGCTATCAATCTAGCCCCTATCATAGACTCTTATGTATTCTAGATAGTGCAATTAAAACCCTATTAAGTACTTTTTAAAAATAGACTTTAGACGAGTCTATTCTAAACAGCATTCACATTATAAACATTCTGTCAAGCCCTAAAAATTCACAGTACAAGAGGATTTACAAAACAGCAGAATTTCAATGCTTGACACAGGAAACTTAAAGAGGGTAAAAAGACTTGAATTTCTGGAGAAAGGATTCAAAAGCAAATGAGGGTGAATAATTTCTGCAGGGCCACACTGGGTGGCGCTCAGGGCGCTGAGGAGACTGGGTCCTGCAGGGAGGCTGGGACACAGACAGAGCTCAGCTGGTGCTGCAGTGCCGGGTGCCAGGATCAACCCCGAGGCCACACCCAGTCAGTCTTCTTCTCCACCTCTTCCTACCAGTCACGTCCCAGACCCAAGGCTATACAATCTTAATTTCTCTAACAAAATTTCTTCCTGGGGGGAGGTAAAATTCGCAGCTCTCTACTATTTCAGAGATCTGCTTGAGTTTATTAAAGAAACATTCACATATCACAGGCTATAAGGAAAATGTTAATCAAGCATGAGAAAAGCCGAATCATTTTTTGAAGTAAGAACGGAGAGAACTCACAAGATTTTAAGTACATACTATGCATCTGGAGCGATAAGCACAGCAGGTAGTGCGTTTGCCTTGCACGCGGCCGACCCGGGTTCAATTCTTCAGTCCCTCTTGGAAAGCCCGGCAAGCTACCAAGAGTATCCCACCTGCACAGCAGAGCCTGGCAAGCTCCCCGTGGCATATTCGACATGCCAAAAACAATAACAAGTCTCACAATGGAGACGTTACTGGTGCCCGCTTGAGCAAATCGATGAACAATGGGAGGACAGTGCTACAGTGCTACTATGCATCTATTATGTGCATAAAACGTGAAAGTTATCTGGGGTGTAAGTTCAAAGGGTTGGAGCATCTGCTTTGCAAGTGGGAGGTCCAGATTGGATCCCAGGCACTGCCAGTCCCCTGTGTATGGAAGGAGTGACCCCAAGCAACAGGCCAAGAATAGCCCCCAGTACTGCCAAGTGTGGTCCAAAAACTACATATAAACAACAAGAAAAGGCGGGGGAGGGAGGCTATTAAAGAAATATCACAGTAAATAGGCTGCTTGCCCCAGCACATTTGGTTCCCTGAGACCAGGAGTGATCCCTGAGGACAGCCAGGAGCAGCCCAAAGACCAGAACAAACAACAACAAAAGAGGTCCAACAATGACCTTTAATATTTTAAAATTTCCGTCTTTACTGTGAAATAATTTATCTGATATTCAAAAAATACAAAAAAAAACCCTCCCCAATAGCCATCATCTATTCTAAACTAAATAAAATCAAATGCCAAAAATAAATTAGCCAAATAGAAACTAAATTGATCAGAAAAGAGTTGAACACCCATATTAAAAAAAAAAATCTCTGAAAGAAGCTAGAGTCTATTGCTTCCAATATCTGGGTAGATCAGTGCACCTACTAGCAAATAAAGTGATAATGAGACCAAAGTCTTATCATCTCACTGATAAAAATAGTGAAGATTCATTTAAATCTATCAAAATCAAAGATGAAACAGAACAAAGAGATCTTCAGAAAGACTGAAATATGTACCTTTATCAGAGTAGCAATGATTAAATAAAGTGCAAAGATGTGTAGAAGCTAATAGAATGTAAATAGTAAATGGTATCTGGCTGAACATTATAAGTATTCCTATTCTCAGTATTTTTAATTATTTAAGCTAGAAATTGATACAATCTTTCCTTTCTAGGCATTAAAAATAATAAAATTAGGATTTTAAAAATATAGTCCTACCTTGCTATACCAGTTGAGACAGGGTTGTACTACATCAGGATCATCAATGCCACTAAGTTCAACATACCAGATGCTAAAGTTAAAGCTGGGTCCCCAGGATAAGAGTGGAACTTGAGGGGGAAAAGGGAAGAAGAAAAAGGGGAAAAAAATTAACAAGGTTCAAATAAAACTTTCACAAAGCAAAATCACTATTCATACCTATTAAAATTTATTCAACAAATTTTCTGCATACATTCTATACACCTAGCACAATGCTAGGAATGAACTGATCACAAACAAAAAAAAATAATACAGAACATCATAAAGTTTCTTTAGTTACAAGAAGTGTAAGGTACACTGAAAGCGATCACATTATTTCCTCTTTAAGAAAGAGAAAAAAAGAAAAGATCGAGGCTCTATATAACTTAGCAGGCCAATTTTATTTGCCCAGGGACCAGAGAGATAGTACAGAGGGCAGAGTGCCTGCATGCAGCCAAGCTGGGTTCAACCCCTGACACCATATATGGTCCACTGGGTACTGCCAAGAGTGGTCCCTGAGCACAGAGACAGGACTAAGCCCTGAGCACAATCAAATGTGGCCCCAAACCCCCCAAAAATGTAGTTTTACCAGCCCATAAGAAACATGATTGCTAGTTTCCTATTATTGCTATTAATTTCTGTCTTAATACTTAACACTTTTAAAACACACCTTTTGGGGACTAGAGTGACAGTGCTCTCCCTGTAGGAAGCTGACCCAAGTTCGATTCCCAACACCACCTATTGCTCCTCCAAGCGACAGCATGACTGATCCCTGAGCGTCCCACTCCCTGAGCACAGAGCCAGAAGTAAACCCTGAGTACTACCAGTTATGTCCCCTGCAAATTAAAAAAAAATCCACCCCTCTCCAAAAAAAACCCCCCAAACCCACATATACCTTCAGACCAGAGAGACAGCCACGCATTAAGGCACCTGCCTTGCATGAGACTGACCCTGGTTCAATCCCTGGAACTACACGATTCCCCAAGCACTGCCAGGAGCAGGTATGCAGGCCCCTGAGCACCACTGGACAATGGTAGCCTGGGAATCCCAGCAGGGCAGAATCCTAGCAGCACTGCAGCCTCTAGTCCTCACAATGAACCACAGGCCTGGTTGGCAAAGAATCACTAGGACAGTCTGGGAGACCCTTCCCAAAAGCAAACCTTTTAAAAGAAAATAGAACACTTCTCTACAGAGGACTACCATCAGGGCACCCCCAAAGTTAGTATTCATCCTAGATTTCTAAATATTCCTGCGGACCCATTCAATCTAGCCAGATCGAAAACTTCTCTATAGTCTATGCAACTGCCCAGGCTACAAACATTCAAAATTCCGAAGAAATTCAGTGTGCCCAAATTCCATCTCTATCCAAAACTAGGACTCCCGGGATCCTTCTCAGATTCAGTACCTCCTTCTGTCTCCACCTCAACTTGCTAATTTCTTCATTCAGCTGTGAATGAAGATGTAAACCCTCCATGTCATCTAAAAATAGTATCTACACTCACCCCATCCCCCTTTATGCACTCTGATCTGATCTCCCAAGGAGGCGGCTTTCCCTTTCAAACCTTTATTCTGTATTCTCAAATCTTATCTCCCAATTAATGACTCTTAGTAACTTTTTCTCTTACTCAGTCTTATGTGAAACCAAACTTCCTCCTAAGGCCAATTCAACTTCCACACCAAGCCCAAACCAAGTCCAGCAACGAAATCACTCCAGTATGAACTCTGCCTTTTTGTGTGCCACAATCTTCTTTTTGCCTCTTCAGTGAAACTGGAAACCTAATCTTCCTCATTTTTCAGTGCATAATGGAAAACACATAAATTATAGAGTAAACCAATTGCACTAAAATATAATTACAAAAACTACTCATAAAATTATGACATAGGGCTGGAGCAAGAATACAGTGGGTAAAGCTCTTGTTACCTTGTATACAGCCCACCCGGTTTCAATCCCCAGAATCTCATATTGTCCCCTGACTACCACCAGGAGTAATTTCTGAATGGGGAGCCAGGAGCCCCTCCTGAGCATCGGTGGGCATGGCCCAAAAACAAAACAAAAAAATATGTATGCTTTTTATTAACACTCAATAAGATCTAGAAACAGGTCTAATAATAATAATAATAATTTCAAAGATACGAATTTGCTATACTGGAATGTGATGAAGAACAATTTTTAATGAATGATAAGCCATGAAAATTGTTGTAACTTACAACTATTAAGAGTTGCTCCCAATGGTGATAACTGAAAGAAATTCTAAATACTTTAGAGGTAAAAAAATGTAAAAATGTAACTCTTTCTCCATCAAATTCAGGAAGCTATTAAATAAACCCTACAAAGTCCTATACAAAAACTCAAAAATACATTTACGTCTCGAAGGAAATGAGTTTTGCTTGGTAATATTAATAATTGAGGAAAGAAGTGAGACTTCCTCAGGACTTCACAAATCTAAAGAAATAAAACATAAATATTACAAAATATGAGAGCTCAATCTTCAGAAGTAAACTTCTGACAGAGTCAGGTTCAGGTTCATGCAAAGTATGTTCCCCTTAACCCTACGCTTTCTCCCCAGTCCCCCACCCCCACATATATATCACTCACACACATATATTTATTAAAGCACCATGAGTTACAAAGTTATTCATAACTTTTTCCCCCTTTTTGGGGGGTGTGGCATGGGGATCACACCTGGCGATGCTCAGGGGTTACTCCTAGCTCTGCACTCAGGAATAAGTACTCCTGGAAGTGCTCGGGGAACCATATGGGATGCAGGGGAATCAAATCTGGGTTGGCCGTGTGCAAGGCAAATGTCCTACCAGCTGTACTACTGCTCAGGCCCCCGTAATTGAGTTTTTGACATACAACGTTCCATCACCAATTTTGTTACCAGTGTCAACTTTCCTCCAGAGTTCCCAGGTTCCCTCTCCTACCCCTCAGCCCCCAAGACCCAGTCTGCCATCTCGACAGGCACCTTTCAAGTTTGGTTTATTAAAGTCTGCGTCTCTTGACTTCAGTGTCATTTGACTTTGTGGTTTGGCTATTTAACTCTATCATTCCTTAATACCACAGATGTACGTGAATCCCCTTGACCTTTGCTCCTGTTGCTTCTATCTCTCTTGTCCCTTTACCCTTCACCTTATTTCTTTCCTTTTTCCTCCCTATACTCTGGGGCCAAGAGTCATCTAGGCATTCCCTCCCTTAAACCACTGCAATTCCTCACCCAATTACTCCAAATGCCACATTCAAGTGATATCATCCTGTGTTTGTTCTTCTCCTGGCTTACTTACTGCATTAATATACCTTCCAGTTCCATCCATGTTGCAGCTAACTGCATGATTTCACCATTCCTTACAGGTGCATGGCATTCCATTGTGTATGCATACCACATCTTCATGCTCTACTATCTGTTGTTGGACATACAGGTAGATTCAAAGTCTCAGCTATTGTACTGAATGCTGCAATGAATAATGGTGTCCATATGTCCTTTTGAATGAATTTTTTTCTATCCTGGGGTAGATACCCAAAAGTGCAATTGTTGGGTCATATAGCAACTTAATTTTAAGTTTACTGAGACTCTCCATACTGTTTTTCATAGTTGGTGGTTGAAACAGACAACAATCCCACCAGCAGTGGATGAAGTTCCATTTTCCACCACATCCCCACCAAGAGATTGTTCCCTGTATTTTTGGTATATACCATTCTAACTGGTGTGAGATGGTATCTCATTGTTGTCTTGATTTGGATTTTCCTAATAAGTGACAGTGAGCATTTTTTTCATGTGCCTCTAGGCCAGTAAGAAGTCCTTGTTTATTTCCTCTTTCCATTTTTTGATGGGGTTTTTGGGTTGTTTGTTTCTGATCTTTGTCAGACTTTATCTATCTTGGATATCATCCCTTTATCTGATGCACTGACCACAAATTTTTTAGTCCACACTTCTTTTACCATGCAGACACTCCTTAATTTGCTGTAGTCCTACTTGTTTGTCTTTGATTCTGTCATGTTTGACAGTAGCACTGTATCACTGAAGGCACTTTTGAGGTTCAGCTCTTGGAGTGTTCTGCCTATATTTTTCTCAATATATTTAATAGATTCTGGTCTGACCTCAAAGTTTTTGATGTACTTTGAAATGACTTTTGTGTGTGGTGTGATTTACAGATCCAATTTTAATTTTTCACACATGGGTATCCAGTTTTGCCAGCATCATTTGTTGAAGAGGCTTTACTCCATTTCATGCTATCAGATCCTCTGTCAAAAATTAGTTGAGCATATATGTGAGGTTCTGTCCTTGGATATTCTATGCTGACCCACTGGTCATAAGTCTATTCTCATAACAATACCATGTTGTTTTGATCACTATGACTCTGTAATAGAGTTTCAAGTTAGGTAATGAGATACCCGCCAGTTTCTTATTTCACTATGATTTTGGCTATTCAGGGTCTTTTATGATTCTATACAAACTGTATTATGGACTGTTCTAAGTCCTTGAAGAATGTCTTCTGAATTTGGATAGGGACTGCATTAGCTCTGTATAGAAGTTTAGGTAGGATGATCATTTTGACAACAGTGATTATTCCTATCCAAGAATATGGAATATTTTTTGTTTAAGGCCTTCTATTATTTTCTTAAGCCTTTTTCAGTTTTCATGGTATATAGACTGCCTACCTCTTTTGTTGATTCTTAGGAAGATACTTGATGTTCTTAGACATTATTTCGAATGGGACAGCACAGCGGGAGGGCATTTGCCTTGTGCGCGGTCGACCCTACTGACCCAGGATCAATTTCTCTACCCCTCTTGGAGAGCCCGGCAAGCTGAGTGTCTCACCCTCACAGCAAAGCCCAGCAAGCTACCCGTGACTTATTCGATATGCACAGTAACAACACAGTAACAAGTCTCACAATGGAGACGTTACTGGGCCCGCTGGAAAAAATCGATGAATGGGAGGACACTGACAGTTGGATTTGGTTTGCTAAGATTTTTTAATTTAAAATTTTTATTTTTATGCTTTTATTTTCCTCAATTGAATCAGTGAAAAATACAGTTACAAGACTGTTCATGACTGGTTTGAGTCATAGAATGTTCCAACAGTTGTTCGTTCA